TGGATTAGGGAAATCCGGCACGAAAGACCACCTGTTCTCGGACTCCTCATGCCTGACAGCGCATGCCAAGATATCAGAGACAAGGAAGTTGGAACCTGAGTGGTCAAGAGGAGAAGATGTCACATTCTTTATGTCCTAGACCTAAGCTCGGTGATCCGGAAGGTCGGGATATAAAGAAGTATAGCCTGCACAGGTACCTAGAGAGTGAAGTCATCCATCCGCAGCAGCCTGGTCCCAGTATCGAGGGATCCAGGCCATTTATGAATAAAATTCTTAATCGGGAACACTATTCCAATTTCCCTCCATTCGATAATAGGAATATGCCTTAGTTTGATTTGATTACCCATACCCTTAAAAACCCAAGAAATTAGCATTGAATACATTTTCCTTACGTGTGTCAGGTGACAGTGACCTTTCACAGGAGTTAGAGGGAAAAGCAGAGGTTCAGCAAAGAGCCATACCGCATCTGACCGCCGACCTGACTCATACACATAAAACAAAAAGGACACACCAAGGGACGGTCTCGCAGCAAACACCAAGGAAAGTTGGTGAGATCATCAGAAGCATGTGCTTGTACGCAGCATCCATGATTTGTTTTTCTCCCAATAGATCTATGATTTTATCAAATTGAAGGTAAATAAACATATACCAAGTAGTCACCTATCACTTCAGTATAGACGTTCTTTTCAACTCTTGTTTGTTGTGTTCATATATATTTATAATAGATGACTACTAATAGTTAACTACATTGTGATATAGTTCTTGTACATGTATGTGACTCTAATAGTTAATTACTTTGTGAGATTGTAGATGTGTGTGAATGTAGTAATTAACTGCTTTATGAGATGGTTATTGTAGATGTGTGTGAATGTAGTAGTTAACTACTTTGTGAGATAGTGATGTAGCGACATCTCTATCTTCTTGTTTTACAAGTTACTCTGCTTTAGGTTATTTTCGACTTTTGTTGCTGTTTCCTTTTCCTAGAATGAACTTCTATTTTCGTTAGGGTTTTCGTGTTTAGTTCTAGCCTATATAAGGCTTTGTAGTCTTTATTTTGATACTCGGTTTTTGCATTAGTAAAAAAGAGCTTTCTCTCTTGAAGTCTTTGAATTCTCCCTGTTCTACAAAGAATTTTGAGCAACAAAACAGAGCCTCTAGATCAATTGATACTCGAGTTCTGTCTTTGTCTACTTATCCGCTGCAACAGATAGTTACTGTACAAGTGTGTGAATGTAGTAGTTAACTACTTTGTGAGATAATTATTTTACATGTGTGTGATTGTAGTAGTTAACTACTTTCATGTTTCTACAAATTTAAGTAGTTAGTATATTGAACATTGAAAAGTAGTCAATTATCAACAACAAATGTTTGACTGTAACTATTAGAGAAAGATAGTCCGTTACGCGATGTATGACTATCAAAATTAGATAGACAATAGTAAATCTGTGTGAATCTCAGAGTTCCCTAAAAAATAAAAAAAAAGATGAGAGAGAGAACTTTTGTGATTATAATTTTGAAATATTTTAAAAATTAAAATAAAAATATGAAATATTTAAATGAAAAGTTGATTTAGATGAAAAGCAAAAAGTTGTCAGAATAAAAGAAAAGAGAAAAAGTTTAGGTGTTATGGTTTTTGACATTTGTTAGAGTTAAAAGAAAAAGGAGGGGTGGAAAGTGATTTCCACTTAATAAAATATGGAGATTTTATTTTCCTAAATAGCTCTTATTTTATAGTTATAAGTGTTAAACCGCAAAAATCCGAATTGAAATCACGAAGTAAATCAATGAAATTATAAACGATATCTTAAGGAAAGTGTATGAAAACGAGACTTTGAAAACCGTTTTGAAAAACTGACTAACACGGAGTCGAGATTTGATCTCTTTCCTAAACTCAATAAATCGCCTGTAATCTGTGACGGTTTTGCAATTTTTGAATCCTAGGATAAAACCGTGATGAGACTATTATGCAACACCCATAATAGAATCTGCGAAGAAATAACTATGTTATAACTTTCGAGACACTTACTATATTAAGACGAGAGGGATTTGCTAGAAGCTATTGTTTTTCTGTGTGTTTTTCTTTTCTGTCTGGATTCGACTGGATCGGATGCCTTTCTCTCAAGAGAGGCTATTGTATTTATAGTAGAACATTATAGTGGAAAAGTTTTCCAACTACCATTGTGGGATTTTTTACATGTCCATTTTTTCCTTTTCATTCACAAGGATTTTCCTTTTTACAAGGATTTTTATTTTTACAAGGGTTTTCTTTTTTACAAGGGTTTCCTTTTTTACAAGGTTATTTCCTTTATTACAAGGCTTTTCTACTGGACCATAAGGCCTCATTTCAATTCACACATAAACAATTTTATAAGCCCACAAGCTTTATAAAAATAGTTCCAACAATCCCTCACATGAATAGAAATGACTCTAAACATATGCAGACTCGATAGACTATGCAGACTAGACTACAAACTAGACTACAGACTCTATATACAGACTTTTCGAGAGTATAAACAAAAACTAACTGTATCTAAGGTAGTAGCATATTTCAGCCTTGAACCACTCAATGTTACATCTGTCGGATTTACTCAGCCACAAAGTGAATATGATGTCTTGAACCACCCGGATTTTTGTGTAAACCGATACAACAGATATAACCCAGCTTCGTCTTTTCGTAGATTTCAGTTCTCTATTGTGTTCATTTTGGCCTTGAACATGCCTGGTTTATCATGAGTGAACTTGGAGAGTATAGCTTTGTCTTCATTCTCCTAGAAACGGCCTCCTTTCACACTCACTACGTGATAGCCATGTACCTGTCATATACACAGAAAGTATTATGTTATACTCTATATACATGTATATGACAGCTATGGTCTTATCTCATTAAAAGCCATAATACTTAACCTTACATAATTACAGGAAGCACTATTCATCATCATGGAATTTGAGCATTTTTAAAGTGCTTTTCTCAGATTTTTCTTGATTTAGTTTTTCCTTTGAACCAACCTCTTGGGATCTCCAATTGCATAGGTGGGGTTTCCATCAAACATCCTCTTTCGTGATAGAAAATAAGCCCATTCCCTTAGATGATTTAATGATTTGATCTTGCGGCAAGCTTTTGGTAAACGGATCCGCTAAATTGTCCGATGTAATCGACTGTGAGTACACCACTTGAGATCAGATGCATAATGGTCTTATGTCGTCTTTGTATGTGACGAGACTTGCCATTGTATAGACTTTGGAGGTGGCACTGCGACTTTTGCTAGGCACCCCCACACTTTGAGGTATTTGTGCAAAGTTACATTACCTTTCCAAAGCTCATACGATGTTTTGCAAGTTACCTTATGAGGTATCTTGTTGAAGATATAATTTGTGGTGAGCAACGCTTCCCCCCACAGATTCTGGGGTAACCCAGATTCCTGCAACATTGCATTCATCATTTTCTTTAGAGTTTGGTTCTTTCTTTCCGCAACTCTTTTGGCGATTAAAACATATAAGTCGCTTTAAACAGCGTTTTCCCGAAAGAAATTCGCTTTGAGTTTCCACAGAATTCACCAACAGGTGTTCTTAGAACTTGTCAAACGTTTCGCGGACCTGTCTGAGACTACCGCGTAAATCGTTTCAAAGATTTGTCTAAATTAAACGTTGAAAACTCATTTTCAAAATCGTTTATAAGTTTTTCGCAAATTCAATCTTATTCAAGCGATAAGCAGGAAGCGAATATATTGAGTTAAGATTGTTAGACCGCAAAAATCCAAATTGAAACTACGAAGTAAATCAATGAAATTATAAACGATATTTTAAGGAAAGTGTATGAAAACGAGACTTTGAAAACCGTTTTGAAAAACTGACTAACACGGAGTCGAGATTTGATATATTTCCTTAACTCAATAAATCACCGTTATGTGTGACGGTTTGTTGCGATTTTTGAATCCCAGAATAAAACTGTGATGAGACTATTATGCAACACCCATAATAGAATCTGCGAACTGAAATAACTATGCTATAACTCTCGAGAAACTGACTATATTAAGACGAAAGGGATTTGCTAGAAGCTATTGTTTTTCTGTGTGTTTTCTTTTCTGTCTGGATTCGACTTGAAATGATGCATTTCTCTCAAGAGAGGTTATTGTATTTATAGTAGAAGATCATAGTGGAAAACTTTTCCGACTACCAATGTGGGATTTTTTATATGTCCTTTTTTCCTTTCCATTCACAAGAATTTTCCTTTTTACAAAAGTTTTTTTTTTATAAGGGTTTTTCTTTTTATAAAGTTTTTCTTTTTACAAGATATTTTTTTTTACAAGGTTATTTCTTTTATTACAAGACTTTTCTACTGGACCATAAGACCTCATTTCAATTCATACATAAACAATTTTATAAACCCGCAAGCTTTATAAAAATAGTTCCAACAAATAAGACCTAATTTCCCTTATAGCTCTTATTAAAGGAACCAACCCGTTTTTTCAAAGTCTTTGTACCTCTTACCCTAAGAAAGAGAAGAAGTCTTTGTCACTCTAATATAGACAAAATTGGTCTTTTTTTTAATTTTTTCTTGACAAATGAAAAATAAATTCTTTTTCTATAGGATTTTCTGCAAACAAACCCTTTATGTTTGTAAATCTACCATTTACGTCTCAAAATGCAAGTTAAACCCGTCTAAATTAAGATTTTCTTTCCCTATTTCATCTTCTCTTCTCAAAATTGAAAATTTTGTTTGTTTTGAAGTTGTCTTCAAGTGATATTTTCTTGTGTAGCGGGATGAAATGTTGTATTGTGTTTTGACTGGCAAGTGGAGAGTTGATTGCAATTTGAAAACGTGAAGGGTAGATTTGCGAAATTCAGTGTTTTCTAAACTTAAATAAAAGACCATCGCCAAACAACTCCATTAATTTATAACGCGTTTGTTTTCCAAAGACACATAACTTCAAAATATCTAATTTTAAGTATTTTCAACTCCTCATTACCTTCTGTTAACTTTCTCAAAGTCGTCTCTAATGGTGATGGCCTCTCCTTCTTTTAAGCCTCGCAACTACAAAGTCAATGTCTTTTCGAGCTTCCACAGGCCTGACGTCCGTAAAACACTTCTTAGTCACATGCGTGAACAGTTCAAACGCACGGGGATCACTATGTTTGATGATCAAGAGATTGAGAGAAGCGCAATAATCGCTCCTTCACTCATAGAAGCTATAAGAGAATCAAGGATCTCGATCGTAATTCTCTCCAAGAAATATGCTTCGTCAAGCTGGTGTTTGGATGAATTGGTGGAGATATTAGAGTGCAAAAAAGCTGGACAGACAGTGATGACCATCTTCTACGGAGTGCATCCATCCGATATACGGAAACAGACTGGAGAATTCGGGAACACATTCAATGAAACGTGTGCACATAAGACGGACCAGGAAAGGCAGAAATGGAGCAAAGCTTTAAACGATGTGGGAAACATTGCTGGAGAAGACTTTTTAAAATGGTTAGTCTTTATGTTCTTCATTAATCAGATGTTAAAAAAAAATAAACAGGCAATGGTGCTTAATAATGAATAGGGGAAAATACAGTGGATGGAATGAATCTTAGAGATATTTGTTAAAAACTAAGTGGGCAACATTGCTGGAGAATAGTTCTTGGATGGTTGGTGTTTATATTTGATATGAGTTTTTATTGCTTAGATTCTACTAAGTGGTAATCACTAGACAAAAAAATAACCAGTTAATGGTGTTATATGATAAAAAGGAGGAATTATTGTGATTGGAATTCGAATGGTATATGCTTTTTGTTGTTATAATATTATATATACATGGTTAAGGAAATGCTTTTTGTTGATGGATGGATTACTACAAATACATATTATGGTATAATCTATTATGTCTCTTTTGTTAGGGATAATGAAGCAATAATGATCAAGAAGATTGCCAGAGATGTTTCAGATAAATTGAATGCTACACCATCTAGGGATTTTGATGGCATGGTTGGACTAAAAGCACATCTGAGAGACATGCAATCTTTGTTGCATTTAGATTATAAGGATGGAGCTATGATTGTTGGAATCTGTGGCCCTGCAGGCATTGGTAAGACTACCAGTGCCAGGGCTTTGTATAGCAGACTCTCTTGCAGTTTTCAGCTTACTTGTTTTATGGATAATCTTAGGGGAAGCTATCATAGTGGTCTTGACGAGTACGGATTGAAGCTCTGTCTACAAGAGCAACTTCTTTCAAAGATTTTGAACCAAAATGATATTAGGATAAGCCGTCTAGGTGTGAAAAAAGAAAGGCTACGCGACCACAAAGTGCTCATAATTCTTGATGATGTGAACAATATAAAGCAATTGGAGGCATTGGCAAATGAAACTACATGGTTTGGTCCTGGAAGTAAGATTATAGTTACAACAGAAAACAAAGACCTTTTGCAGCAACATGGAATCAACAATACATACCATGTGGGGTTTCCATCTAGAAAAGAAGCTCTTGAGATCTTATGTAGATATGCTTTGAAACAAAGCTATCCACATGATCATAGTTTTGAGGTGCTTGCTAAAAGGATAATAGAGCTTTGTGGTAACCTTCCATTGGGTCTACGTGTGGTGGGTTCATCTTTACGTGGGAAGAAGGAGTACGAATGGGAAGACGTAATAAACAGGCTAGAAACTATCATTGATAGAGATCTTGAGGACGTACTAAGAGTCGGTTATGAGAGTTTAGATGAGAATGAACAATCTCTGTTTCTCCACATTGCAGTCTTCTTCAAATATCAAGATGGAGATCTTGTGAAAACCATGTTCTCTGACAGTTACTTAGATGCCAAACGTGGTCTGAAGATCCTAGTCAATAGATCTCTTATAAAGATATCTAAATATGGGGAGAGAATACAGATGCATAGATTACTACGACAAGTGGGTCAAAAAGCCATTCATAAACAAGAGCCTTGGAAACGCCAAATTTTAATGGATGGTGATGAGATCTGTGATGTTCTGGAACTTGCCAAAGTAAGTTCGTATTATTTAGTTTTTATTCCTTGTTTATTATACTTAATTTAAACAAGTCATTTGTACAGATAAACAAATCTTTCCCTAAGCATTTTTATTTATTTGGAACTTGGTTTAGGGTACAAGAGTTGTGTCTGGCATCTCATTTGATACATCAGGAACCAACGAAGTGATTGTTAGCGAAAGAGCCTTTAAAAGAATGCCTAATCTTCGATTCCTCAAAGTTTACAAAAGCAGATATGATGAAAATGATGTGATGCATAAACCTGGGGAGATGGAGTTTCCGCGTCGTCTAAGGTTACTACATTGGGAGGAATACCCGAGCAAGAGTCCTCCTCTTACATTTCATCCGGAATATCTTGTGGAAATGAATATGAAGCATAGCAAGCTAGAGTACCTCTGGCAAGGAACTCAGGTTTGTTGGTGTTGTACTTCAACTATCATTATTTTATTTGCGAAGAAACTTGAGCTGTGGTTCAATGCACAGTTTGGGTTGTCGTTTTGATTAATGAATTTTGAGCTTTCTGATTGGTCGGTGTTTGTTATAATTTGATTAGTTTAAATTGATTGGTTTTAACGATTTTTGGTAATTTTTAATTTTTACAAAATTTTTTATGAGATCGTTAATGGATTGCATTGAATATGAATATAGGCGGCCCAAAGTTTTATTTGAAAATCCGAGTAAAAACCAGTATAAACAAAACAGCTTCGTAATCAACGAACAAAATATTCTGGCACAATCGGTTAGGATATCTTTCCTGTTATACGTATATCGCTGGTTCGAATTCTTTGTCGTGTGAATTTTTATTTATATAATATTTTTATTTTTATATAATTTTATCGGATTCAACTTTTAATAATTAAAATTGAGAATATTCCTTATTTATTCAATATATTTTTTATATTTGGTCCGTTGTAATCTGAAAAAGATGTTTTCTTTATCGTAAAATGACAAATTGTTTGTTTATGTTAATATGAGATCCTTTCTACCTTTATCGGTTGGTTTTATTAAAAAATGTTAATTTTGATTTTATAGAAATATTCGCATGGAGGGTTGTATTTATCGTAAAATGGTAACATTGTTTGTTTATATCAATATGAGATCCTTTCTACCTTTATCGGTTTATTTTATTAATAAAAAATATTAATTTTGATCTTATATAAATATTCTCATGGAGGGTTATATTTATCTGTATCACTCAATAATATACATATTCGTCTAAACTCTAGGTTATTCCTATGTATAAATTGGTTTGTGAGCTTTGTACGTTTTGTCATCGAATTTTCTAGGCTTTTGAAACTCTTCATGATGTTTGTTCACTTGCATTCAATCCTAACAATGTGTTCTTCTGACTACAGCTTTGCTCATCCATCTAAAGTTATGATTTCTTGGGAAGCTTCGTCTACATCAACATGTATATATGTTTTAAACCCACATGCTCAGTAATGATGTGTATACTCTTTATTATACTAAATGTTTTTTAATACGATGATCAGGTTCCATGAACCCGGATCTTGCTGACGGTTATTCGTCTTCATTTGATGAAACCTGCGATCTCTTGAGTCCGATTATGGATGAAAACGGAATATCGGGTTATCGTTACGTAACTCCTTACGTTTTCACCGACATATCTAAAAAGAAAGGTTATTGTTTGTCTCCATCGTATTTAATTTCTTCTCATACCTTTTAAAATTTGTGTTTTGTTCTAGGTTACCCATGTCAGCTGCTCATGGATTCTGGTATTAAATCTTGGGTTATGCGGTCATACAATCCTATAATCGAAGGTTTGATGAGCTAACTTTTATTTTCACAATTAGTACTTTTTGAGATAATATTTTTATAATAAAGTTTAATATTTTACTCCTTTACGTAGATCGTGGTTCTGCGATTTGTATATCCGTTTCTGATGAAAAAATCTTAAGTAGAAAAGGTAATTCTGAATACCCTGATGTTTTAATTTTTGTCGTTGTATTATTAATCTTTGGCCTAATTATTAGTTTTTTTATACGCATGCATGTTATTATCTTAGTTTGTGGACGTGGACGTTCGAACAAACATTCTCCTTACACCTTTGATTGGGATTTTCATAGAAATGCTTGGTTTCTAAACAATGGATCCGGTGATGTTAAGTGTATATATAAATACTAAACCATAGTATATCTGTTTTTATTTATCCATGATTGATGTTACGCTATCATGTATTGATAAATTTTTGTTTTAATTGTGTAGTGGTTGGTGATTCTGATGATACCCATTCTGAAGATACTGAGGTATTGTCTGGTCGTGGAACTGATGAAGATTTAGGTTTCGAGGATTATATGGATTCTGATTATGGATCGCATGATGATACTGTTGACAAATATCAAACAGATGATTATGATTCTGATGATGATTTTATCAACGATGATG